TTAAACATGATGAATTATTTTGAGAAATTAATTCATTTTCTTTTGTTAAGCTTTCAAGCTTAACTTTCAAATTAAAATTTTCTTTTCTTAAATCATTGATTTTGATTTTTGAAAGCTCAAAATCATTTTTTTTTCAAAATTCATTTTGTTTTTCAAAATCAAATCATTTTCAACTTTAAATTTTGAAATTAATTTCTTATATTTGGAATTCATGGTCTCAAATTCCAAATACAACTCATCATAGGCATCTTGTAACTCTTTAAATTAATAAGAATTTAAATCACAAGAGTTAGAAGTTACCATTGAATGTTCTTCGATTTCCATGAGGCATAAGTTGGTTACTTCATCTTCATCATTGGAGTGATCTTCATCACTCCAATATGCCATAAATGCCTTCTTTTTGCTTGATCTTTTCTTCTTTAAGAGAGGACATTCATACTTGACATGTCACGTCCTTTGGCATTCAAAGCACACTGGGGGACTCTTCTTCTTGCTCGATTCATGCTTTCTATCATCTTTAGATGTCATAAATCGTTTGAATCTTTTGAAGATCTTGGTCATCTCTTCATCCTCATCCACCTTTTCACTTGAGTCTTGATTACTCTCATTAGTGGATTTGAAGGCAATTTCCACCTCATTCTTTTTTCTTGTTCTTCTCTTCTTTCTTTTCTTATTCTTGATCTTCCTCTTTTATCATCAACTCATGAGTGATCAAGGAATCAATAAGCTCATCAAGATTGAGAGACTTTAGGTTATTTGCTTCGATGATCGTCATCTTCTTCGATTGTCAAGACTTTGGAAGAGAGTAAATCATCTTCCTCACAAGTTTTTCATTAGGGATGATTTCTCCATATCCCTTGAGACCACTGACAATCACGAAAAATCTATCCGTCATAACTTTGATGTCTTTATCTGATTTCATCTTGAAATTCTCATAGCTATGGTTGAGAAGACTAATTTTTTTTTCCTTCACTTCATCTTTTCCTTTATGATTGACTTGGAGATTGTCCCAAATCTCCTTGGCATTTGAACATGAGGAGACTCTTCCGCATTCATCCAGGCCTAATGCACAAAACAAAATGTGCATGGCCTTAGCATTGAGTTGGAACTCTTTCTTCTCATTTTCACTCCACTCTGCCATAGCTCTAGTTGGAGTAAAATGACTCCTCAAGATAGAGCTCCAAGCTCCTAGATCGTTGTTAGCTTGAATGAAGAGTATCATCATATTCTTCCAATATGCATAATTAACTCCATTGAAATATGGTGGCTTGTTAACTGGTTGTGAGTCTTCAATGTAGTAGGAGCCGGAGGTTGAAGCCATCTTTATCGGTTTATAAAGAAAGTTGATAGAGTTCTTCAGGATCTTCACAAGGTTGTTAAACCGTCGATTGTGACCCTCTTTGATACCAATTGTTGGGCTCGAAACGATCAATTGAAAACCGCCAAGAGGAAGTAAATTGGCCTTTAAAATCTTTGGTGTGGAAGCAATAAGATATACAAAATTTGACACAATGATTTATAGTGGTTCGACATCTCAATCAAGTCTACATCCACTACCTTAGCTCCACACTAAGGATTTTCTAACAAATTCACTATTTTGTTCTTATCTTTCAAGGATAAGGTGTAACCTTTATAATTCTCAAGTTTTTCTGAGGTTAAACTATAATTACTCCCCTTTTACAAGGTTTGATTTGGGTAAACAAGAATACCTCACTTGGTAGGTGTTTACAAATATTTAAGCTCACAAAGAATGAATACAAAGATATTCAATAATGCTTAATACAATATATATATACAAGAGAATGAAAAATAAGAATGAAAAACTCTTTTCTCTTGATATTTAAGCTTGGATAGGTGTAGTAACCTTCTTCAAGTGTGTTTGGAGTATTTTTGTTGTGTGGAATGAGTTGTTAACCGTTTATGACCGTTGGGGATGAGTTATAGCCATTGGGAAGATTTAAAAACATGCAATAAAGGCCACTTGCACATGTAGTTTCTAAAACTTTGTGAAAGTATCGAAACTGAAAGTTTCGAAACTTTGATAAAGTTTTGGAACTCTTACTTAAAAATATGACCATTGAAGAAAATCGGATCGTTAAAACAGTTTATGGGTGCAAAGTTTCTTACAAACTTTTGTAAAGTTTCGAAACTCTTACAAACTTTCCAAACTATGAACAGTACCTGTGTATGAATAATATCATGAACAGTGTCAAATAATGATTGAATAGTATTTTTCATATTTAAAAAACTTTAAATACTTTAAACATATTTTAATTAACTCAAAAATATTTCATATATATAAAGCAATTAAGAAAACATATTTTTCAACTTATTTTGGACTTTAAATTATTTTTGAAATATTTGATTAAGTCCAAAATCAATTTTACAAATATTTGTTATATCAAAATATAAGTTCAACAATTTTCATTTTAGTTATTAAAATACAACGGATAATTTCCTTTTCTCAACCTTTGAATCTTGTTGTGGTTATATTGTAGTCACAATGCTTTATTTATGTACTATGGTTAAATACCTGATCTGGGTAGTGAACTTTATATTTATTTTATTTTAGTCCTTAGTGTTGTTATATTTAGAAAAATGCTCTTTTTGTGTTCTAGATCCTTGTGATTCTGTTATGTGTATTTGTTAGTCTCTATATTAGGCTTAATGTTTGGTGAATTCTTTGGTCTTATTGCATGCTAGAGCGTATGGATCCATTTTCTTTATAATTAAACCCTCGTATTTATTGTATAACGTTGGTTCTATTATTTTCAAACTTAGCATATACGTTCTTTTAATTCTTTTTAGCCTTATATTTATAACATTTTATATATATATATATGCTTATGTACATGTATGGCAGATTTATTTTTCGCATGTATGAATATGTTATACATTTTATATTGCATATAAATATTTATTTACTTATTTTCTTTTAACCGTTATATATATATATATATATATATATATATATATATATTACATTTTATTTATACATGTATACTTTACTTTTTTAAAGAAAATATTTTTTAAGAATTGTATTATATATATTTCATAAAAAATGTTATTATTACCACTATAAAATTATATGAGATCTTTTGTTAATTGTACGACTAATTAGTGGAAAACCTCCAAATACATGAGTACCCTTTCGAGGGTTATTCAAATAAAATAATATTAATTTTATTATTTGTTACTTATTCATATTTATGATATATTAAGTTAATTAGATATATTTTATTCATTTCCAATAAATGTATAATTTTTTACATTTGCATATTTCTTTATAATGAAATTATTTTAATAAATAAATATTTATTGTGTGTTTTATTTATTTTAGTTCCTTTTTATTTTTTTGATTTATTTATTTATTTGTTACATCATGTGAATATTTCATACATCTTGTACATAACATTTATTATTGTTGCATTCATAAATCATACGTTTTTTTCTCGTTTTTTAATTCAAAGGCAATGTCATCTTGCATTGTGGGTTAATGGAATTGCGTCCAACATGATTGATTTCAATTTTCGTTAGTTCATATAGTAAGGAGACATCCTTCTTAAATAAAATTGAGTTAATTAAATCACCTTTTATCGAATCAAGTATTTTATAAAGAAATTCACTCCATTTTCTAAATTCATAGAAATAAAAGAATCACACTTTAAATTTTGAATTCATATTTTTAAAATTCCACCATTTTAGACAAATATATAATCGAGGGTACCAATTCTGGACGCTACGGGAGTGCTTATTATTCCCCACACGTAACTGACTCTCGAATCCTTAAAAACGAATCTTTGGTACACTCAAATCAATCTTTTTCTTTTAAATGATTTTTCTAAAATTCGTTAAAAATACATTTTTTAGGTATTCGACCTACCTAACCCAAAGGTCGATGGCGACTACAAATTCAAATTAAACCAAATTTCATCAAAAATCTCAATTTTTCAAAAATAAAGTCATAATTAATTTTTAAATTAATTGATCTAAATATAGTTGTGACAACTAAAGTAAGTCTAAGGACACTTTCCTAAACTCATCTTACCCCATAAATGAGAAAGAATTCCTAGATTCTTAAACCCCCATTAAACTCGCAACTATGGTCATTATGGCTAAACTATGAGATTAGGAGCTCAAATGAAAGCTTGGGATGAGGAAGTTATGATTCTTACCATAGAATTTCCACAATAAATTTGGAGGGTTATCAAGTTTTTACCTTTTTACTTGATTGGTAAGGAAAACAATGGAAATAGAGAAGAAGAAAGAAGGGTACAAAGAAGGATGAAAGTAGGGGGAGTGGGTAAAGCAACATACATCATGACCCATTAAAACTATCAGCTTTTGGTTTAAAAGAGGGTATATGCCCCTTTTAGTCCTCCTCTTCCACTTATATTTTAAATTGATCCCAATTCTCTGCCAATTGGGCCGAATACAAGCCCACTTCCAAACATAACTTGGTCCAAGTTATTCTATTAGTCTATTGGGCTCGTTTTATGAATCTCGGGTTGACCTAAAACTACTAACCCAGGATTCGAGACGTTACAGCTAGCTTCTTTGAAGAGATTTCCTTTTTATATGATCTTGCTTTGTTGTATATACGGATTATTGAATGCTTTACCTATTATTCGGTTAGAAACTTCCTTATATGATTATGTCACCCATGTTTAAGGTCTCTAAAGCCTGAATTCGTTAGCATGGTGGTTACTCTCACACATGCTAAGCAGCAAGATACAGAAGAAGAACCACAGAGTTAGTCACATGCGGCATTGAGACTCAAATAGACTTCACAATTTGCAGCTTCATGGTACAAATACAATTCAGGTAGAGCATACTTAGAAATATGAGTCTCTTAGTGGACCTTAAGAATGGATGAGGAAACAGATTAACTTCAGCAATGGCATAAGACATTGATATTGTAAACAATGAAATATCCATCATAGAAAAATCTTTCATAACAGTTAGAGCAAGCAAGTTTAAGAAAGAAACAAGTGGTTCACCTCTTCCTGGAACATCTGAAGCATGAGACGCTTCTACTCGAGATCGGTGACGTATGGATCCAGCTGACCCTGACCTAGTATCGGTGACGACCACGTCTGACCCTTGTCCCTCTTTTGCAGAGTTATGTGCATTATATCATCCTCTAACCACATTCAAATATCAATTGTAAAAAAAAAAACAAAGAATTTAAATTATAGTTCATCGATCTAAATAATGAATTTAACTTAAAACAATATAAAATCCATTTCATCACTATCTCAATTCTTCAAGTTCCTAAACAATTTCCAGAAAAATGAAGAAAGAAGTACCTAGTGTCCAGAAAGATGAATCTGTCTTCACAGGGGAGAACAAATCATGCTGAAAAGAAAGGAAAAAATTATGTAACGAATGAAAACAATCTCAAAATTAAAAAAAAAATGGTAACTCATTTGTATTCCACTCACACTAACATCGAGATAAGGGGCGTTGCCTTTGATTCCAACTTCGACATGTTTGGACTGAATCTTACAATAAAACTGCTTGGAGCAAACATATGGCGGTAAGTTTATATAAAAATTTACCTCTTCCAAAGTTTGATACCATTCGAATACCTTTTTGACTAAAAAATTAAATTAAACTTCAAATCAAGACACCCTAAAAGAACATCGAGATATGAGGAGAGGGAAAGAGATGAATACCGTTGTGAAGAAACTTGTGTCGTTTTTCAGGAGCCAATTTCTCCGTCATTTTTGTAGCGTTTGGAACCCCCGCGCTCTCTTTTACTGTTCTCGGTTCTGGACTCACGGCTTCGCTAAAACTTTAGAATTTATCCGATAGTCCTTATAGTTTTACTATATTACTTTCAAGGACAGTAGTTTAAGGAGACTGTCACTGTGAGCTTTTAACTGATTTTATTTTTCACACGCGTCCTGAGTGACTCAATTTCTAGTATTATGTGTATGCTTGTGTTAAGTTTTTTTTACCCCTTTTCACTCTTTTATTATCAATTAATAATATAAACATAAATATATAATTTATAATTTTAATATAAATACAACAAAGTTGATAATTAAAATCTTAAGTCTTGATCTTTATACTTCAATTACATTTTAAGCACAATTTCAAAACAGAAACCGATATAATAAAGAAAGTTGGACAGGGTTGTGACATACATGATTAGCTGATTTGCCGATGGAAGCTTTCAAAACAAAAAAAATAAAGTAACTACTTCGTCGACACACAAAAAATTAACAAAGAGGTCTACGACGATGTTCTTTACTCAACTTTTCTCCTTCCGATGGGTTGTTTGCTTCGTGGATTTCTTGACCTTCACGTTCTTTCCTTTGAAGTTGAATTTACCATCATCTGAATCGTCATCATAATCATCCTTGGACCTTTTGCCCAGCTTTTTCTCATCTCCTCCAAAGACGACGATTTTCCTCGTTTCTAGCCGTTCTGCAACATCATGCTTCTCCTTCGGTCTCCAAATAAAAAGAGACCTGAAAGAATAGATCAAATCATACGAAGACAACTACCGAAACGGCTTTATGACAAGTTATACAAGTTCAGTGATTGGCATCACAGAATGAAAGAGTAAACAACAGAGAACGAATTCAGACCTTGAACTACCCGTTGCCAAAACATCATCTCGTGTATGTATTTTGTTCACAGGGCTAATAGTAGTAATGTTCGGATCCATAACCTCAGCTGCTAACTGCCCCGTGTTGATATCTATGAAATCAATGGGATGTAGAGCAGTTCCATTATAATTTTCACTTATGCATCAGCCAATAACAGCTAGAGACTCCGACGGATCCTGCACAAAATGAATGAGATAAACGTCAAAAATAAAATGAAGATGTCATAAAAAACAATAACTGTACTATCTTCTATATTTTTTATGACCTTGGGATCCCATTCAGCTCGGAAAGAAGTCAAATGTCGATTGAAATCATGACTATGTACAATTTCCCTACTTGGTGAGTCCAAATCACGGAAGATGGAATCCCATATATGAATGTGATTATCTTGAGATGTGGTAAGGATTTTGGTGCCAGACAATGGTTAGAAATAAGCAGAGTTCACAACACGTCCATGCTGGAGACTAGCAAGGGCAGATCCAGCTTCTAATTGACGCATATCCCACATACGAGCCTATCATAACATAAGATGCTCCGTTGTCAGAACAGTAGCACATGCCAGAGTTTTTAAAGCATTTTTTTATCTATAGATAGTAGCAAAAAACACACCATAAAACCCCGTGAATGCTTGGCAATACAGCATGTTAAATGAATTGCATAAAATATCAAGTGATGTTATTAACAGTCTTACAAAATGATCATTTCCGCAACTCAACAAAAGATCCGGTTGGAGAGGATTACAGTGTAGGCCAACAACTTTCCTTCCTTTCTTATGAATCATAACTGCGTTTCCTGTTTGGTTGTGGGAGCGACTATCCACCCTGGATATGCCATAATGAAAAAATCAATCAAATTCGAGCATAATGCTCACAATTCTCAAACAATGAGAAACTCGTAGCTTTGTACTCGTGGTGCTTCAAGGGTTTGCAGCGAATGCATTGATAAGACAATTACTCACAAGTAGAGGAAACCAAAGTTATCAGCCACAAGCACAACACATTTCTCCGAATTGATATCCATGCCATAAAGTATCCTCCAAGTCTTCGGCCCCTAAAATAGAACACGTATCAGTCATGCTCAATAATATTATAAAATTATAACTCATCAAAGGCAGAACTTTGACCAGTCAGTTAAAGAAAATTGTATCATTACATGCCAACCATCAAGATTAATCATTAAAGATGATGAAATCCCAGTCTCCAAGTCAGAGCAACAGATAGTTCCATCCGAGGAAGCAGCGTATATTGTACCGTCATTTGCAGGACTGAACCTGAAACGGTTTGGATTCGAGACTTCTGACAATGAAAGAATAAATGCATTATAGAGCCTACAATATTGAAGTGTTTCCATATAAATCTTTTTTTTTTCCAGAAAGCTGCAATGTGTATGCACACAAAAGGAAAAACAGCTCCAAATGATATTGCTAACCTCATATTATTGAGAATACATGAGTGTATGTTTCCGTAAACCGTCTTTTCATGCACTTTATCAAAATCCCAAACTCCGAGTTGTCCTTTCTTTTAAATGAATTAGAAAAAAATGAGAGACAAATATCAAGAATCAGAACCTTGATATTCTCAATCAATAGAAATTTAAAGAAGCAACTTAGTCTAGACCAAGTTGACCTTATCCCCTGACAAAAGGATGTGATTGTTGGTGGGATGGAATTCCAAACACGTTATTCTTCTACTGTGGTATAGGATAGCAGCACAATTGACTTGATCGGGGATCAAATATGCCGGCTTGATCTATCAAACAAATAAAATAGTAAAATAAATTCAATTTTATACACATAATCACTGAATCTCTCTTACAGGTAAGTCCCAAAGGTTGACTTTAGAAATTTGAACATAAATTCCAACCAATTCTGCTTCACAATGGTAACACGTGAAAGTACTTAACAAGCATGTGCCGACAACGGATGGCATAATATCACACTATATGTTGCATCTTGAAAAGATATCGGCACAACATATTAAAAATTTACAATGACATTGCAAAATGACATGATACGTATATTGTCAAAGAACACAACTTGAACATGCACAAGATAAGCAAGCTCATCTATTGCAAGCTGCTGTTAAGTTAAAAATCCTGAAACTGTTAGCAAAAGATATTACTCAGCTTACATACAATTGAATTATACGTTTAAAGAACTTAATGAGTTCACCTAAACATCGCTTGATGAAACACTACCTAAGATAACCGGAAATGTTTAATTGCATCTAACTGAGCAATTGCAAATAATTTGCATCTAACTGAGCAATTGCAAAAGGAGAATAAGAAAACGATTGCACATATGAAATCCGGAACTCACAGGAGTAATTCGAGGTCTAAGTTGGCGCTCAAATATGAATTCCACGGGGTTCTGAGTATTAATATGGGGTGCTGGGATAACCCCATGCTCTGTAGCTACCCTATGTGGGCATGTCATTGTAGTATGACCTTCCATGTTTAAACAAGCTCCAAAGACATCTACCACAATGTAATGGGGGGAAAACAACATAAATGAAGTCGAAATTTCAAAAGAACATAATGATTGGTAAAAAATTACCCAAATTTTCAGAACACAGTTTCATGGGCGTTTAAGAAAGCAGTGAGAGGCAACTGACCAGGCATTTTGCAAAGAAAGCAAGGCATCATCGGGCAATCAATATAAGTAGCCCCCTTAAACCCTGCTTCATGGCCCGTTCTCTTACAAGCCTGAACCCCAACAAAATTTTACAGATTATATGTATATATAACGCTCTTTTTTTCTCACTTAAAAATGCACATATGATGTCAAGATAATTCCAGTGGACTTACCTTACAGACTTTCTTGAGACTGACAGTAATGGGTGATTTCCCTTTCTTTTTGGAATCACTGAAAACATCATTTTTCTCATCATTTTCGTTTCCACTGTCTTCTTCTGATGGCGGGTCTTCTTCTCCTTCGTCTTCGTCTGTAGAGCTTTGTTCGGAGTCTGTATCTCTCTCTATAAGTACTTTAGGGAACGCCGTTCTTCGTGCTTGGGAGGCCATTTTCAGAACTTTAGAAAGCGCTAAACAAGAAAGGACAGAGATCCGATACGATGAAAATGAAAGTCAGAATCGGAGTGTTTTGGGCAAAGGGGGGAAATATTCGAGGGAACAGAACTGACTTCGCTCGTAGACTCTTAGTAATGGGAACATCGAAGCACACGTGATTTCGCTTTTACGAAATTATCCTTACGACAGCACAAGTATAGTGCAAGTCGGGTTAGTTTCGGGATTCCGATCCAGTTCATGGCTGGAGATGACGTGGCTCATTGTAATCCGCTAGGAGTCTCCCACGTGGATCTTTAGAAACGGTGCCCTTGTACTTTTGAAGCTTTACAATATAAAAATAAATTACAGAGTTACTCATTTAACTATACTTTTTCTCATATTTTTACTCACTGAAATATATTTTCTCTCGTATTTTAGTCACTAAACAATATTTTCTCTCATATGTTATTCATTGTACGTTTAATTTTTAATTTACTATTGAATTTTTGAATTACTCTCATTTTAATTACTCTGAATTATTTTATTATTATTATTGTATGACATAATATTTTTTATTATTAATTTAATATAAAAAATAATTAAAAATATAAAATAAAAATAGAATGTGGTTGAATGTTATTGTCGGTCATCGTCGACCGTCGTAGATAGTGACCTTTCGGTCCCAAATTTCATTGGTCGCTTCACCTTGATACCTTGAGTCCGAATCTGACATCCATTTTGTCAGAACTTGCTTTGAAGTTTTAGTCCGTTTTAGTATTTAAAATTTTAAATTTTATCAAAATCATCTCTAACGTTTAGTTTTTATTTTATTTTAGTACCTCATTGTTAAAAATATTAATGCTTTTGGTACATAAACTATCAGTTTTAGTCCATTTTAGTATCTAAACTTTCAATTTTTTCAAACGTTAAGTTTTTAATGAGATACTAAATAAAGCAAAAACTAAAAAAAATGATTTTGAAAAATTAAAAGTTTAAACACAAAAACGGATCAAAATTGATAGTTTAAGTGTTAAAAATATATTTTACCCCTATATAAATTCATATACTTGTAAATACCTTATAATTTATGGAACTATCTACATAATTTACCCTTAACACAATGAAATAAAATGTCCACTCCACTTGTATGATTTTACATTTCATTAATAGAAGACTATATTTTAATATTTTGATAAAACAAATTGAATAAATTAATATATATTCTCAATAATACATTAAATAATTATATATTTCGATAATCATAACTATATAAATAATATATTTTATAGGCTAAACACCCTCTTAAGAAACTTAACGTATCATTACATTAGAATTATATAATGCTTAAGTCCCTTACTTTTATGTTATCCCTTCGTATTATATATATATTCAAAATAGGGTTGAAATATCATACTGAATCTCTTGCTTAGGAGAAAATTTAGCTAATAACACGGCTGGTTATTGGCAAGAATTCCCGTGTTCCTTGAACTAATATGTTTCAATTTTGGTATATTCTGTGATTTAAATTTAGATAAAATATATCAGATATTTTTAAATTATATTTAAATGATTCTTTTAATTAATAAAATTTTAGAAATTATAAAATAATTATTAAATTAATTGAATTATTATAAGATGTTACAGTGTCTTTATAGTAATTGTAAAAATTTGATAAATTTAAAGAAAATGTTATAATAAATTTATAAATTAAATAATTTTTAATCATTTAATAAATTCAATAATTACTTTATAAATTTTAAAAGTTAGTATCTATCATAATCATTTAAGCATATTTCTATTGTATTTTACCTCTTGAATTTTTATCAATACAAAATATGTAAATTAATAAATAATTTAAATTTCCATATAAGAATTGAACGGAATAATAGATTAAACAATAAAGCGTATATGTTATTATTAATGTTATAATAAGAAAGCATAGAGATCTCGAAATCTTCAAAAATTAAGTAAATTCCTAATTTCATTTAATGAAAATCTAAATATTGTGAAGAAATCTAATTAGGAAAAGTAGAGGAATATCGTTTTTTTTCCCCAGAATTAAACAATAGTTAATTTCTATAATTATGATCGTAATTAATAATATATATAATTGGGATAACCCTCACCTTTTTTTAATGTTTTTGAATTCTTTGAATGCGGCTCCTTGTTTTATAAAACTCATGGCGCCGCTACAATGGCCTAGTGACTTCTGTACCGACAACCAATAGTGTTTCGCCACGTCAGTATCAGGGGGCAATGTAGTAAATACATCCCGTTTTGTTTCTCTCTTTCATACGTTGTACCACGTCATTACAGGATTAGGTTTCAAAGAGGATGAGATTGTAATTTCAGAACCCCTTGTCCCTTTAATTTAAAACAATCCTAAGACTCTGACAGCGTTCTTAGACTGCAGTTAAGTTTGTATCTTCAGCTACTTGATTTCCTTGTGTTTGTTTGATGTGAATAAATTTTCCGGGAAAATAGCCGGTCATGAGAAACTCGTCCTTCAAGGATTCACTCAAGACGCTCGAAGCTGATATTCAACACTCCAACACTCTGTATGGCCCCCTCTTTTCATGTGATTACGTTTTAATTTTCTCTGCTACTGTCTTTGATTGCTCAAGCACTCTTGACGTGCAACTTTTTCCGATGGTCTTATTTCAGGGCTTTGGATTTTCCGAGGGAGAAAGATGGAGCAAGACTTCAAATGAGACTTTGCTACAGTCCGGCCGCCCAATTTTTCCTTTTCCTTGTTCAATGGACAGATTGTCATCTGGCCGGCGCCCTCGGTTTGCTCCGAGTACAGATTTATATGGTATGGTCTTCCCCGGCAAGGCGATCGTTCATGTTATATTTAACGCCTCACATCCCTTCATATCTATTAACTACTGATGCAGACATATGCTGATGGTAAGACCACCATGTCCATTTACGATAGGAAAGCCAGCATTAGAGAATTCTATGGTAAATGCTCACTCTTTGTGCTTAGCTCGTTGAAGTAAAGTCCGGCTCACAGGCTTGGTTTTTTGGTATGCAGCGGTTATATTTCCTTCTTTGTTGCAACTTCAAAGAGGCATCACTGATTTGGAAGATAGAAAACAGAAAGAAGCTTGTAGCATGAGGTATCGTAGGAAAGATGAATCCTGCTTCGAAAACGAGTGTGGGATCTGCATGGAGATGATGGACATGGTTGTGTTGCCTAATTGCAGCCACTCTATGTGTTTGAATTGTTATCGAGATTGGTAGGTTATTCATCTGGATATGACCAGTTACCACTTCTTCTGCACTCAAGTTCTGTGTTTCAGGTTCTGTTATAGATTCGGGATTCATGTTTCTGTCTGAGTGACCTGATGTTGTATTTCTTTCCTGTTTAATTTCAGGCGTGGCCGGTCTCAGTCATGTCCGTTTTGTCGGGATGGTCTCAAAAGGGTCAACTCATGTGACCTTTGGGTTTGCATAGAACAAAGTGAGATCGCCGATCTGTTATCGATCCTCATAGAGAACCGTAAGAGGCTCTTCATGTACATCGACAGATTGCCTCTCGTCATCCCGGTAACCGTATATGCACCCTTTGATGTTCATGTCCGTTAGTGGACTTTTAATACATACAGGACACTAACTACCAGTATACTTGCTATTTTAAAGTGCAAATTCTTCCCGGTTCAAGCATCCATGATTTTCAGTGGCTGCAAGCTTGTGACCTTGCTTGCATCGCCAATTTGTATGTTCAAGTAGGTTGGACTTACCGACAATAGATTCGATCAGAGTTAAGATTGAATTCGACTTTTATTTGCAATCTATTCTGAATCTGATATTTTGATGAATGCAACATTAAATTTCATTATTAACGTCCATGTTAAAAGTTAAGACGGAATTCGAGCATTAATTGTAAAAGCCTCGGTTTATTTGAAATTTGATATTTATATCTAATTGAGTTTCATTATTAAAGTACAATGATTCAACCACCAAAATTACCCACAAGATTCTTCTAATTTACCTGTTACAACTCTTAATTCAATTCATTCAGTCGAGATTTGAATCTTAATAACAGTTTGAGGGCAAGAGAATAGCTGGTCATAATTCACAGACCTAAGTTCCAGTCCGTTATATTTTTATCCATTACTTATCGATTCATGAATTATCATCATTCACGTATATGGAGGAATTACTCGTGAAAATACGCAAATCAAACTTAAGAATGGTGATTAAACGTCATTTGTATCAGATAGTAAAATAGTAACGGCACCAGATGTAAAAGCAAGTGGGAACAAGTACAGCTATAGAAGATTAAAGACCCGGAAATGGCATATTCAAAGATGGCCTAAAACTAAATCATTTCATAAAGATGGCAATGCCCGATCATGTACTTGATGCTATGTATCCATTACTTCAAGCTAGAAGAAGAAGAAGAAGAAGAAGAAGAAGAAGAAGAAGAAGAAGAAGAAGAAGAAGAAGCAGTAGTAGTGAAAGTCGAGGCAAAAACCCAAGAAGGAGAAACAATGCAAATTGAGCAAACACAAATGAATATGATTCAATACAATCAAGTCCGACGCAAATTTACAAATGTTTGGGATTTTCTCAAAAGAGAGAATTAATTTGTTCAACGCGAAAAGAAATTATGCAATGAATTCTTCATTATAAGGATTACTAACCCAAACTTGCAATCAAATCCAGAAATTTAACGAACACACAGTTTTAAGTTTAAGTTCTATATTAAAAGCGTGCGTAATATTAAAGCAAACATAAGTATTTTAGTTTATTTCCACAAACCAAATTTACGGTACATATTTTTAAAAATAAGAAAATAGATTTAAAAGAAAATTTCAAGATAAACCAGCGGCGTCCCCAGGTTTTGATGTAATCGCCTTGTTTAGTTAGCCAACCGGCTCGCTCTGGGTTGGCCCAGAACTCAACGCCTTTGTAATTATCCGGATTCGGGTTCTGACCCATTGCTGCTCGCTATAGATTCTCCATCTTTTGATTAGAGAACTGATGCTTTGGGCAAAGAACTGAAATTAGATTGGATTTGTGGGAATTATTTGGCATTGGTTTTAGGAGTTTTGACTTTTGAGTGAACTTTAGTAAGATGCCTTTGGCTTTTACATAAACGATGTCGTTTAAACACATTTAGTTGGATTTCAATTCACAAGCCTATAATCATAATTTTTTTAAACTAAGATAATTACAAAGTAGTATCTGTTGTAAATATTCTCAACCATTTGACAATGAACACTCAATCACCCTGCTGTAGTTGCTGGTGTCCGAACCTATAACCTCTAGTAATAACAACGATTGCTTTAACCACTGAGATAAGTTGATTTGTACCTTATAATCATAATTATTTGAATTGAAACAATACGAATTTTGTTTAAACTTCCATTATTGCAATTTCACGTCAATTAAAACTTGGCTTAATACCAAAATGAGTGTCCAAATTATATCGTTTTTTCTAAATAGGTGTCTAAACTATTTTTTGACTAATCCAAGTGCCTAACGTTACAAATGTTATCCATTTAGGTGTTCGGGCCGTCAACAACGTTAATTTCCCCAGTTAAGTGACATGTGTCACAATCTGGTGATTTTAAAATTTATTTTTTTAAATATTAAAAACATTATGATATTTATAAAAAAAACTAACTTTTCTTATATTATAAAATAACCCCAAAATCTCAAATCCTAACCTTAATCTGTTGTCGCCGCCCTTTCTAGCTATGACCACCGCCATTGACATAGCCCTTACCATCCTCCTACTCATACGTCATCGTAGTTTCCATCGATTGGACGTCGGAATCGCGAGGGATCACGATTTTCATCTTAGATTTCACGTGGTATAAAATGTTGATTCGTCGTCAATCAGTCACGATTTCATGGAGGGTTTTGGATGTCGAGGGGAGGGGTGGAGCTTCGTCGACAATAAAAGGCAACGGATGGCGTAGGTTTAGGGGTTGAAATGAAGGTTTTCATAGTTTTAGGTTTGTTTCAAAATTCATGTTTTCTTTTTAATATATATATATATATATAATTTTAATTTTTTTTTTAATTTTAAATACATTTTTTAAAATTACCAAGTTGTGACACGTGTTACTTAATGTAATAACCCAAATTTGAAAAGTGACCAAAATGTAATTTTTAAAAGTTAAGTGGCTAAAGTATAAAATTTAAAAAGTTTAGGGACCAAAAATATAAATTTTAAAAGTTATATATTTTGGCCAGTAAATGAATAGTTTGTCACAAAATAAATATTTTCGGGGGAATCAAAATTTTGGTTTCGGGATTTGTATTAAAAACTTAAAGTAGTAAAGTCTGGTAAGGACTAAGGAATCGAATAATCAAATCGAACCAAAATTTCACAAAAATTGAAGGATGCTAGATAAATGTTGGAAATATTGTTTCTATATTTTAGAACAGTGAAATTTAGCATGATTTGTGGAATTGAAGTTAATTTTCCCTATTTAGCCGAAATTGGGAGAAATTATTAACTAAATTGTAATTTTTGAAAATTTGTAGGGTTAAAGTAGAAAGTCAACTTCAAGTTGGCTCATCTTTAAATATGGATATTTTAATGGAAGATATTTCAATGACATTTAGTAATTATCATGATTCATTAATGGAAAATTTAAAAAGTCTCATAAATTTAATTTGACATTCAATTATATTAAATTAAAGACAAGTGTATTAAGTGATAAGTGTGGAAAAATCATGAAAAAATCATCTTCTTCTTCTTGTTCCAGCCGTGAGCTCCATAGCTAGGTCTGGGAAATTTTTTAATTTGAGTTTTAAGCTTATTCGATTGATTTTTGGATTTAGCTATTAGATAGAGAATTAATCCTCTTGAAATTCTCTATCATTTGGTATAAAAATTTCATGAAAATCATGCTTAGATGTTAAGTTTCATGAATTGAGTGGTTGAGGAACATGTTTTATTTTGAAGATTTGATGAAAGATTTTTGTGTTATTGATGTTGTAGATTAATTCTAAGCTTGAATAATGATTAAAATCAATTGGAAATGTTTAAAGATGAATTTGGTAAATATTAAGGTTTATGAAATTGATTGAGATATCATGGAAATGATGATAGGAACTTGAATTTATGTATAGGTGTTCATTTGATAAGTGTCGACACTGTTTTTTGCCTGGGCAGGGAAAACAGGTACCGACTTATTACTTTGAAAAAGTTTTGAAATGTGAGGAGTCGCCTCCAATCATTTAAGGTGCGATTGAGACACCATAAAAACCGGGTGAATTTAATAAAACATTTTATTTTTATCAAAATATCAAGTTTTAGGGTCTGCAAAAATCCAGAAATCAAGTTCGGGATTCGGTTACGCATGAGGAAGGATTAGCACCCCACAGCGCCAAAAAATTGGTACCTAGTTGATTACCCTATATTTATAATAACAAATTTTGAGTTCGAACTTTATTTAATTTAAAAATAATTACAGATGCAAAGTTGAAAAGGGTATTCGTTTATTAAAGCCAATAATTGTAACACCCATAGCCCACAAACATCTAAGAATACGAACCATAGATGTCACATCAAACTTACTAACAATCACTAGTCACAGTTGCTTAAAATTTTTTTTACACATTCTTAATTTCAACTTTAAAACTATTTTTTTCTACTTAAAAATATGTATCATTTAAAATCATAATATTTTAATTACTATATATTCAGGCATACCTAAATACTGATAAACTAAACTAGTCAAATTAAACAATCCTAATTTACTATTATAGATCATTTAGTCATAACTGATAAAACATATAACATAAATATACATGCCACTACTAGTCAAAAGAAACATCGATGATGATGCGATCCCAATCAGCCCGAACTTTCGTCTTAATCTGATTAAATCATTGAAGTTCACCAAGGCTGATTCAAAGGGAGTTCTACCTTACTTCATCTTATACCTGCTCATTTATGCACTATATTTTATCATATGTTTGTATTTACCTCTTGGGATATGCTTATCATATGATATCATTCATTGCATGAATTTGCATGAGTTTTATTAGTTGCATGACATTCATTGCATTTAATAAGTGTGTTGTTCATTTAATCATGCATTGCATTTAAGGCATCTAGTTCATTTAGGGAAGTAGTTCAGTTATGCATAATTAGATCATTTAGTAAGCTACTTCATTCATGCATCTAGTTCATTGAATAAAATTAGTTCATTAATTAAACTAGTTCATTCATCAAACTAGTTCATTTATTAAACTACTTCTTAATCGTTTCATTCATGTTTTCAATTAAATATTGAATAAAGTTCACCTTTGTGTTTAGGTGCTTGAGAGAAGTTGAACGGTTTCAACAGATGAAAGAATATCAGTCAGAATTCATTCTAATTCTGGATGCGATACAGACGTCTTTGGGTCCAGAAATCAATTGGACATTATTCCTATATCTCTTAGCTTTCCAACGCCTTTTGAATCACCTCAATCCGATATCGGGATCTTGAGATATGATCGATTTACTGAAGACAGTGCAGGCTGGAATTTTCATTACGGAAATTTTATACAAGGATGATTTGGATGAGTTTGAGCCAAGGAAGAATCCTTTCATCTTCTACCAAGAGACAAGCAATTGATGGCCATCTTAATATATCAATTCAAGGCATTCAAGGTTGATGTTATCACCCGTTGAAGG